TTGAAAAAATAATGGCAGAAAACTTTCCTAACCTGGTGAAGGACATAGACATACAAGTCCAGGAAACCCAGAGAGTCCCCAAATAAGAGGAACCCAAAGTGGCTCACACCAAGACACATAATTAAAACGCATAATGAAAGACAGAGAATTTATTTATTTATTTATATATATATATATATATAAAAATATATATATACACACACACACACACATATATATATAGTTGGTTTTTTAGAGAGGAAGAGAGAGATAGAAACATCAACCTGAGAGAGAAATATTGGCTGCCTCCTGCACACACTCCTACTGGCGACCAAGCCTACAACCTGGATATGTGCCCTGACCAGGAATCAAACTGGAACCTCTCAGTCCATGGGACGATGCTCAATCCACTAGGCCACACCTGTCAGGCCAAAAAGAGAATCTTAAAAGCAGCAAGAAAAAAGTAGACACCTATAAGGGAGCTCCCACAAGACTGTCAACTAATTTCTCAACAGAAGCTTTAAAGGCCAGAAGGGACTGGCAAAAAATATTTAAGTGATGTAAAGCAACAACCTACAAGACCTACAAATAAGATTACTCTACCCAGCAAAGCTATCATTTAGAATAGAAAGACAGATAAAGACAAGAAAAACCTGAAGGAGTTCATCACTAACAAACCAGTATTACATGAAATGTTATGCAGCAGTTCTCAACCCGTAGGTTGAGACCCCTTCTGGGGTCGAAAGACCCTTTCACAGAGGTCGCCTAAGACATAACAGTAGCAAAATTACAGGTATGAAGTAGCAACAAAAATAATTTTATGGTTGGGAGTCACCACAACATGAGGAACTGTATTAAAGAGTTGCGGCATTAGGAAGGTTGAGAACCACTGTGTTAAAGGGTCTTCTTGAAGCCCCGCTGGTGTGGCTCACTGGTTGACCATTGAGCCATGCATCAAGATGTTGCCAGTTCAATTCCTGGTCAGGGCACATGCCCAGGTTTGGGCCAGATCCCCAGTGGGGGGCATGCAGAAAGCAGCCAATCGATATTCTCTCTCACTGATGTTTCTGTTTCTCTCTCCCTCCTCCCTTCCTCTCTCTCAAATCAATAAAGAAAAAATATTTTTAAAAAAGGGTCTTCTTGAAGAAGGAATAAGAAAGAAAAAAAGATAAAAAAACACAAACAATAAAATGGCAATAAATACATATCTATCAACATCTAAAAATAACAAAATAAATGAACAAGCACAACAGAAACAAACTCAAGACATTTTGACAGTTGCCAGATGGGGGGTGGGATGGGTTAAAAAGGGGAAGAAATTAAGAAATACACATTGAGCCTGGCCAGTGTGGCTCAGTGGCTGAGCATCAACCAATGCACCAAGAGGTTGCAGGTTCGATTCCTAGTCAGGGCACATGCCCAGGTTGTGGGCCAAATCTCCAGTGTGGGGCATGCAGGAGGCAGCCAATCAATGTTCTCTCTCATTGATGTTTCTGTCTCTCTCTCTCCCTCTACCTTCCTCTCTCTCTCTAAAAATCAGTAAGAAAAAAAATAAAGTTCTTTAAAAAAAAGAAGAAGTACAAATTGGTAGTTAGGGAATAGTCATCAAAAGATAGTCAGTAATATTCTAATAACTATCTGGTGTCAAATGGGTAAAAGATTTATGGGGATGATCACTTAATAAGTTACATAATGTCTAATCACTGGGTTGTACATATGAAATTAACATAATATTATATGTCAACTGTCATTTTTCAATTGAAAAATGAAAAGCAATTTTTAAAAAATAAAAATAAAGGGCAGGTGCCAACAGAAATTAATCTCATTCAGGCAGCTCCAAAAGGCAGAAGAACAAGAGCTAGAAGTTAAGGGAAACTGGCTTCAGCTCAATATAAAGAATTAACAATTAGAGGTTATTTATACATGGAACTAGGTTCCTTGAAAAACTAATGAGCTTCCCAAAAATGTTCCAAGAAAGGAACCAGACAGGGAAAGGAAATTCCTACCAAAGATGAAAGGAAGACTCAATGAGTGATCTATTATCATAGGTTTCAGCCACAGGAAAGTAGCAGTATATGAATGTTTCACAAACATACATTCAAATTTTATGGAGACCAATAATCACACATAGCATAATTCACATCAGTAATTAAGATACTTGGGTGCATCTTTCTGAAATATGCCTCTAACTTTATACCTGGCACCTGAAATACGATTCCACTTATAAAGTTCTACGTGTTATGCGGGTAGAGGAGGAGTCAATATGAAAGGGAGCTGTTTAATGGTTTAAAGTATTTCAAACTCTCTCAGATAACTATATCCTTGCAAGTCCTAATTTGGAGTACCAAGTGTGTTAACTTGTAGCAACACCAACAATTATTTTGTAATGCACCCTTTTCTTCCCTCATCAGAGTCATTTTAAAGAAAGGGAGCAACTAAAAAAGATTACCTCATATCATCAGTAACATTTGGGTACAATAGTCCCCCCTTTATCCAGTTTCACTTTCTGCGGTTTCAGTTACCCTTGGATAACTGTGGTTCAAAACTTCAAATGGAAATTTGAGAAATAATTCTTAAGTTTTAAATTGCACACCATTCTGAGCAGTGCAAGATATCTTGCATCATCACACTCAGTCCTACCCCTTACCTGAATCATCCCCTTCATTCAGCATATCTAACTCACTCCATCTTATCACATAGGCATTGTATCATCTCACATTACCACAAGAAGGGTAAGCATAGTACAATAAGATATTCTGAGAGAGAGAGTACATTCACATATCTTTTATTAAAGTATATTGTTAATATCTTATTGCGCCCTATTTATAAATTAAACTTTATCATAGGTATGTATATAGTATAGGAAAAAACATAGTATATGTAGGGTTCTGTGCTGTCTGTGGTTTCAGGCATCCCCTGGGGGTCCTGGAACTTATCCACCATGATAAGGAGGGACTACTGTACTGCCCAAGTTTACAAATGGTTTTCTTTTTTTTTTTTTTTTTTTTTTTCCTCACCCAAGGACATTTTTCCATTTTTTGTTCAGCTAGAGCGGGAAGGAGAGAGAGGAAGAGAGAGAGAGAGAAACATCGATGTGAAGGGACACATCGAGTGGCTGCCACCCGCACGACCAACCAGGGCCGGGGACAAACTGCAACCGAAGTACGTGCCCTTAGCGGGAACCGAACCCGGGTCTCTCTGGACCACAGGCCGACGCTCTAACCGCTGAGCCAAACTGGCCAGGGCGCAAATGGTTTTCATATACATTATCATATACATATACACAAAGCTACTAAATTTGGTTCTCACAACTACCTTATGAGTTAGTAAATCAAGTATCTTCACACTCACTTTGGAGATTAAGAAACTGAGTCTCAGGAAAAAGAAGTTAAACCCATGACTCTCTAAGTAGTAAATACCAGAATGAAGATAACAAATCCAAGTTTTCTGACTCCAAATCCAGAACTCCCAGTTCAGTGTACTATCAATTCTATGAAAAGAACAGTACTGGTTTTCTATGGTACCTCATACTAATAGCCAGCTTCTAAAAGATAACCAGAGATTAATATTTTAAAAGACCACAGATATGTCCACACTGGTGGTCCCAGACCCATGTTAAAGTGATAATAACTGAACTACTACAATTGCCTTTTTTTTTTTTTTTTTTTTTTTATCCTCACCCGAGGATATTTTTCCATTTTTTGTACAGATAGAGTGGGAGGGAGAGAGAGGAAGGGAGAGAGAGAGAGAAACATCGACGTGAAGGGACACATCGAGTGGCTGCCACCCGCACGACCAACCAGGGCCGGGGACAAATTGCAACCGAAGTACGTGCCCTTAGCGGGAACCGGACCCGGGTCTCTCCAGACCGCAGGCCGACGCTCTAACCGCTGAGCCAAACCGGCCAGGGCATAACAATTGCCTATTTTTAATTGGGGTTGGGGCTGCAAGGATAGATAGATGGCACGGGGACACAAAATATTAAAGACAGAGCTATGGGTCACTTGGTTCAGCCAGGAACTGTAGGCAAGTAATTAAATCAGCATCCATTTTCTGAGCTGTAAAGCATGTTAGAAAAGCTAATTCTGTTTCTAAGAGTTGGTACATACAATGTAATAAACACAACAGAAATAAATGCAGGTGACCCTTGCATAACGGAGAAGTTAGGGGCGCCAACCAATAGCACAGTTAAAACATTCACATATAACTTAAGTCTGCCCTCCACACATGTAGATTCCCAACTACCAGATTACCTTTAAACAATCTGGGTTTGAACTGCATGGGTCAAATGAACTGCATAGTTTAACTGGAAAAAAATCCATGTATAAGTGGACCTGCACAGTTAAAACACTGTTTAAGGGTCAACTGTACTCAGGTAAGCCACATATTAATAACCTCTTCTGTTCTGGCCAGTTTTGCTCAGTGGTTACAGCGTTGGCCCACAGACCAGAGTCTCGGATTCGATTCCGGTCAAGGGCACGAATCTCGGTTGCAGTTTGTCCCTGGCCCTGGTAGGGGTCATACAGGAGGCAGCCAGTCAATGTGTCTCTTTCACATTGATGTTTCTCTCTCCCTCCCTCCCTCCCACTCTATCTGAAAATAAATGGAAAAATATTCTTGGGTGAAGATTTAAAAAAAAAAAGGACCTCTCCCTAGATTTTTTTTCATGTTCCACAGTATTCGGCACAGTAAAAGACATAAAGAAAATGCTCAATATACTTTTGCTATAAGACAAGGTAAAGTTGAACTTAGACCCCACTGATAAAAGCACAAGAAAAAGAACTAGGACCAAGTTTGACTTAAAACATGTATTTTTCCACTTTATCAATAGAAAATTCAATGAGGAAGGTAATCTTAGAGAAACCATTTTTAATCTGAACAAGTCTTATTCTACCACTCTATCATAGATGCATGATTCTTAAGATACTTTAAATTTAATTTTGTTAAATATTAAAAAGTAATAATACACTAAATTTATCAAAATAATTTCAAAGAAAACTTCTAGTCAAAAAATTACTTACTATTTGAAGCTTGATTGTTTTCCCATCTAACTCTATAGTTCTTATTTTGAAATCCACACCAATAGTGCTGATGTAGCTTTCTGTATACGTATCATCCTGAAAGGGAAAAAAGTTAATGATTAAAATTAATGTTCAGTAGAGTAAATAAGAAAATAATGTTAACCTACATATACAAAGTTGATAAGGTTAAAAGGCATAACATGTTAAGAACAACCACTCCATCCTGCTCCAGTACCTGGTTCATGTTTTTATTACAAAGCACTTTTTAACAGTTTTCCTTAAGACTCTGTTCAATAGCTGTTCTTTAATCTTTTCACACATTTCTTGGCAAATTCTTTACATACATTATATAGAAAAAGGTTTATATTTTTAATGATTATGAATGATTTTCCTAATTGCTAATCAGTGAAACTCTAGGCTCCCCCCACCACAGATCCAATTTATTCACCACAAAGTAATGACCATGTCATTCACCTCTTCTGAATTTATTTAGAAGTCACTCTGATTTCCTAGTTATGAATTTTTCAAATTCTCATAATATAAAATTTACCCTTTTAAAGTGTATAATTCAGCCCGGCCAGTGTGGCTCAGTGGTTGAGTGTTGACCCATGCACCAAGAAGTCACTGGTTCAATTCCCAGTCAGGGCACATGCCCAGGTTGTGGGCCAAATCCCCCCAATGGGGGCATACAGGAGGCGGCCAATCGATGTTCTTTCTCATCAATGTTTCTATCTCTCTCTCCCTCTCCCATCCTCTCTAAAATCAATAAAGAACAAAAAATTAAAAATAAAATAAAGTGTATAGTTCAGTGGTGTTGTTTTTTTAGTATATTCACATGGTTGTGCAACCATCACCATTATTTAACTCCACAACATTTTCATCATCCTGTGATGAAACCCTGTACCCAGTAGCAGTCACTCCATTTCCTTGTCTTCCCTTGGACCCTGGAACCACTAATCTACTTTATGTCTTCATGGATTTGCCTGTTCTGGACATTTCATATGAAGGGAATCATATAATATTTGGCCTTTTGTGTCTGGATTTTTTAACTCAGCATAAAGTTTTCCAGGTTCATCCATGTTACAACATGTATCAGTACTTCTACTTCATTCCTTTTCATGGCTGAATAATATACATTGTACATACATATCACATTTTGTTTATCCATTCATCAGCTGATGGACTTCTGGGTTGTTTCTACTTCTTTGCTATTATGAATAATGCTACTATCTATGAACATTTGTGTACAAGCTTTTAACAATGTTTATGCTGTTAAATTTTTATGACTTTTTACTCAGAATGGAATAAAAAATTATTAATATGTGTTTGTGCTTATTAATGTTTGTGAAAAGATATATGAATACAGAGATCAAGCTATCACCACCTAAACCCATTGAGCAATCTTAGCAAGCACAAAGCACTACCTACTAAGTATTCTGATAACAAAGATGGGCCTAAATCTAATCAAACCTAAATCTATTAATAGTTGTAGTATCAAACAAAACTTTCTTTGATGATGGAAAGGTTCTATAAGTTGAGCTAGTTAACACAGTAACCACTAGCCCCAAGTGGCTAGTGAGAACAAGAAACTGAATTTGTAATTTTATTCAACTTTAATTCGTTTCAATTTAAATAGCTGCATGGGGCTAGAAGTACCATAAGTACAGCACAGCTCTGGGGGCTTACTTCCAATTACAGAAACATGAGGAATTTGAACAAGTTTAAAGACATCATAAGGAAGCAAAGTGACAACCCTAAAATGCTGGACAATCTATGGGAAAACTGCCTCGGTTTCTGAAAAAAGTAAGTACCAGGAAAAATAAATAAATAAAGAAGTGGGAGGTTGGAAAAACGCTGGATTAAGAGACTAAGTAGCAAAACAACCAAAAGGGATGTGTGGACCATGTCTGAATCCTGCTTCAAACCAACTGTAATACCAACATGTCTAAAACAATCAGGGAAATTTATTTTCTAAGTTAACAATGCCAATGTTATTTTATATGGAAATGTCCAGTTTTTTGAAATTCACACCAAAGTATGAAGGGGGAAAAAAACCCGACACTTTTGAGATCTGCATTACAACACTCCAACAAACAGAAGGGGAACAAAGGATTAAACAGGCCAGTGTAGGCAAGTCTTGATAATGCTGAATATATAGGGTTGAAAAAAAAGTCTTCAAAGAAAACTGTAAAATGTGATCAGAGGGAGGGAGTTCTAAGTGGCCAGAGGTAGTTGACTTATTCTCCTCATAGATTCCACACTTATGCACATGTAGAATCATTGTGTAAAAAGATACATTTTTTTTTTTATCCTCATTCAAAGACATTTTTCCATTTTTTTTGCTCAGACAGAGTGAGAGGGAGAGAAAGAAAGAGAGAGAAACATTGACGTGAAAGGGACACATCAAGTGGCTGCCTCCCGCACAACCCAACCAGGGCCGGAGACAAACTGCAACCCAGGTACGTGCCCTTAGCGGGAACCGAACCCAGGACTCTCTGGACAGCAGGCCAATGCTCTAACCGCTGTGCCAAACCGGCCAGTGCAAGGATACATATTTTAAAGCACTGATGCAATTTGACAAAATGCTGCTCATCATCACTAGATACTCATTTTGAAATTTTTTATTTTTATTTTTAATTACATGTCTATTAAGTATCAAGCACTGTAGAAAGTGAATGGAAAACAAAATGAATTCAATAAACATTCAGTTAGTACTTCTACATGCCAGTTGTTTTGTTAGAAAATACTTATAAATGCTTTCCTAGAATTCTTGTAACTCCCTAAATGACCCTTACTTGCATGGCTCTGAGCCACTACATATGCTCTTCCTTCTGTCCAAATTCTCAGTTATCTCTTTCTGCACACTCTTCAACTTTGAACCCAGGCGATACTAACTGTCCAAACATTCTCCAACTCCTCAGCCAATAGTTAAGAGATCATTCCCTCTGTGCTCCCATAGCTTATTATACATTTCTTTATAATACCTTTTGTACCTCATTTCTATCTTGGGGATCCAGAAATCAGTATTTTTACAAATGCTACCAGGTGATTTTACTGTGTAGGCAGTACTGAAAACCTATAACTCAGATCAATAGGCATCTTAAAGAAGATTTTCTTTGAAACACAATTCTCAGGCTATATAGCCACTTTCATCAAAAGATGCCAGATTCTTCCTACCTACCTAGAATTGTTGATTTAATACTAGGAATTATTCTTAATTTTAATATTTGCCAATTTTTAAAAAATTAAGTAAAATTAATTTTAAACTTTAACTACAAATAAAATCGAACATTTTTTATATTCATTGGCAATTTGTATTTCTTCTTTTGTGAACTGCTCACTCATGTATTTGCCCATATATCTATTAGGAGAAACATTCTTTTCTTATTAATGTGTAAGTGTGCTTTATCTATTGAGAATATCATCCCTTACATACACATACTTTTTGGGAGGCTAGTACCACTTGTCTTCTAACATTTTTATATGCTTGCAATCAAATTTAACAATATCTTCTTTCCTAATTTTTTGTTAGAAAATAATCTCACACACATTAAAGAATCACCTACATGTTATTTTCATTTTTTCCATGATTTCATTAACTATGATATATAATAAAATTATTATTATTATTTTTTTATCCTCACCTGAGGATATTTTTCCTTTTTTTTTCCAGATAGAGTGGGAGGGAGAGAGAAACATTGAAGTGAATGGAACACAACCAGTGGTTGCCACCTGCATGATCCAACCAGGGCCGGGGACAAACTGCAACCGAGGTATGTGCCCTTAGCGGGAACTGAACCAACCCGGATCTCTGTGGACCGCAGGCTGACGCTCTAACCGCTGAGCCAAACCAGCCAGGGCTATAATGAAATTATTATTATTATTATTATTATTATTATTATTATTATTATTTTAATCCTCACCCGAGGACATTTTTCCTTTTTTGTTGTTGTTGTTCAGGGGGAGGGAGGGGACATTGATGTGAAAGGGACACATCGAATGGCTGCCATCTGCACAACCAACCAGGGCCGGGGACAAACTGCAACGAGGTACATGCCCTTAGCGGGAACTGAACCCGGGTCTCTCGGGACCACAGGCCGACGCTCCAACCGCTGATCCAAACTGGCCAGGGCTAATGAAATTATTTTTAATGACATTCATTATTATCATCATTCACCTTATCAGAAAAGTCATATTTAGTATTTGAGATGCTGTCAAGCTCACAGTGGTGAATTTTAAGTTTTCCAAAATTCTAATTTTGCTTTGAAAGCTTGAATTTTATTACAGGCAGCAAATGCTGTCAGATATTTTCCTTGAAATGACAATCTCAGTTCATTTAAAAAAATGTCTGCCAATATCCAATTCTACACATCTCTAGTTTGTCTATTAGTTGTTCTTTCAAGTAAAACAATAATTTTGGGCTGATGCCATTTTGGACTCAGCCCATCTGCTTTACAGATGTCCAAAATAAAATTCTGTTCCTGCATCACTCTGGCCTCGTGGGTTCCTCCCTCGGCGATCTAACCTTTGGTGCCCAAATGTGGGAGGGTAAATCTGGTGGAAAGCAGGTGGCGACCTGGCCATGGACACCTCAGGTATGCTACTCGGAGAGCAGTCTAACTTCCAAACCCCACCCAAGGTGGGGGAGTGTTTTGGTGGCAGGTCGGCTGTGCCTTTCCCCGGCCCTGCGGGCCCCTCCCCAGCCAGCCAGGGAGAACGTCTCTCCCTTCCGTAGCAGACCACCCGATCAAAACCAGCCAATTCTCTGGGGTAAGTGACCAGCCATTCATTCTTGGGTCTTATGTCTCTCACTCTCTCTCTAGGAGTAGGTGACCAGCCTTTTGCTCATACATGGCTCATCACTCTCCTTTAACATCTCACATCTCAAAAGACCTTGCACAAGGCCAGGAGACCCCATGGCCTTTTGGCCTCGGACTCCTCTAACTAGGGACACCTGGCTTAGAGGACTCCCATTCACTCTCATGGTACAAGCCTGACCAGAGCAGTGGCTGCCCTCACTCTTAGTGGCTTGTCACTGACTCACCCCTCTCGGGAATTCGCCATGGGCAACAACCAGTCTGCCCCACTGAAAACCATCCCTCTGGGTTGTCTCCTTAAGGCCCTTGACCAGCTCAGACTCATGGGAGACATTAAACCCAGGCGTCTCATTTTCTATTCTAATACCACCTGGCCACAGTACAAACTGGATAATGGCTCCCAATAGCCTGAAAACGGCACTTTCGATTTCAACACTTTGCATGATTTAGATAACTTTTGTCATCACAATGGAAAGTGGTCAGAAATACTTTATATCCAAGGCCTTCTTCACCCTCTGATCTCGACTTTCTCTATGCCAATTATATTCTACTTACCAAATTCTCTTCTTACACTCTAAGCCTCCTACTCCTAACCACTCTGACTCTGAATCTAACTTTGAGAGCAGATGTCTGCAGGATGACCTGGTGGTTCTCCCACATTACCAACAATATTGGAATAAACTCACATAAAAAATTTTTTTTTTTTGCTTTTCTTTTCCTTGAGACAATGGGACAAACACATTCTAGTAAGCATTAAAAGTATTTTACGTGTATACCTCATTTCTTCACAACATGTACTTAAAAAAGAATACTGAAGGAACAAGATTTTGTTTTTTTTTTTTTCCTCACCCGAGGACATTTTTCCATTTTTTGTTCAGGTAGAGTGGGAGGGAGAGAGAGGAACAGAGAGAGAGAGAAACATCGACGTGAAAGGAACACATCGAGTGGCTGCCACCCGCACAACCGACCAGGACGGGGAAAAACTGCAACCGAGGTACGTGCCCCTAGCGGGAACCGAACCCAGGTCTCTCAGGACCGCAGGCCGATGCTCTAACCGCTGAACCAAACCGGCCAGGGCGGAACAAGATTTTTTTTAAAAATAGTTTTTACTGTTTCATCAAAGACACTCTTAAGGGAAAATGGTTTTCCTCCCTGTGGGTGAATAGAGGTAAATACAATGCCTCTATACAATCTGGAGCTTAGCAGAACCTTGACATGGTGGTGTTAATGCACTAGCAGTTTTACCCCACCACTGTTTTTGCATCATCAAAGCAAATGTCAACACAGTGAAAAAGGCAAATGTCTTTCTTTTAGTACTAAGTAATTATTTACTGAGTAAATACTAACAGCTTTGTATTATTAGAATAATACTTTTGATCTCATGGAATACCCACTGAGAGAGTCTTGATAATCCCCAGAGGTCTTTAGTCCACACCTTGAGAACCAATAATCTAGAGAGTGACACAGAAAACATGCTAAATTTGATGGCAGTTGATAAACACTATAAAGGAGACTGTGAATTCTACTCATTAGGTTGAAAGTCATTTATCTGTCTATAAATTTCAGCATATAAAACACTGTACCACTGTCAAAAAGTTTGCATCAGACCTCGCTTTTTCTTTTTATTCTACTAAAATTTTACTTGAAAATTCGTTTTCCATCAAGTCACTTTCAACACAGGCCAACTATTTTCCCCTTACCTCACTACCTATGTTAGAATGAAACACTGCTTGAACTCTACCAAGACTATCACGCTGACTTTATAACCACACTTTGCTGAATTTCTTTTAAAAGCAATGACATTTCTTTTATTTAAGACTCCAAGGTATCACTAGGGGTGTATACTTGGAGACTTTAATATGTAAATTCTGGAATAATTTATTGTGAATAAAACTGTTTAATCTTTTGTCTACCTAAAAAACATACACAGCATTAATTTCTTTAAAGGCATTTCAATTTCAACTTACTGCAAACCTAAGAAGGAGGCAAGACTTTCCAACTCCAGAGTCTCCAATCAGAAGCAACTTGAATAAATAATCACTGCAACAAGAAAAAAAAAAAGTCACATTAATAAAGCATATTGTATTGTAAATTCTGCAACAACAAAAATATAGCAAGAATAATAAACGGCTCACTTAGGAAGACTACAGCTCTTGAAACTGAAACCAACAGCAGAAGCTCTTTTGATGATTCAATGCACAGGACAGAATTATGTAAAAGTAAGGTAAGGAATGCCACCAATATCTCTGAGATCAGCGAACTACTTCCAAGGAAAGAATAAAGGAAATATAAGTGATAGGCATTCTTTTTTTTCTTTTTTTTCCTTTTTGATTTTAGAGAGAGAGGAAGGGAGGGGGGGAGGAGAGAGAGAAACATCAATGAGAGAGAACATCAATTGGCCCCCTCCTGCAACATGCCCCACACTGGGAACTAGGCCCACAACCTGGGCATGTGCCCTGGTCGGGAATCGAACCAGCGACCTCTTAGTGCTTGGGTCGATGCTCAACCAGTGAGGCACACCAAGAAACTATGCTAGATAAATCCCATTCCCTTTGAAGTATTACAATACTGAAAGTTAATCGTTCTTGCCAATGAAACTAATTTCTTCTCCTAATTCCAAGATCAAATCATTATTTAATAACAATCTTCCAAGTGGTTTTTATGAATCTTTCCTAGCATCCACCTGGAAGTTCTCCCCTTTTAAAAAAAGGTTCATTTAACTTCTGGTAACCCTGTATTATAAATAATTTAAACTGAAGATGTGGCAAAATCAAAGGCTGTTCAGGAAAACGCACAACTTGACCAACATTCTAAGCTTGTATTAAAGCATTCTTCAGACAACATTGAAAGCTAGGCTCTATTTATGTACATGACCACTGCCGGGCCTGACTCAAAGACCATCCCTCAGGATTCCTTTACTGACGTGAAGACAATAGACTATCTGCCTGTGGTCTCCAAAGGAATCCCTCACAGATCCTTCCTAATTCTGACAAGTTCTGTATGTTCTTTTAAATAATTTCAAAAGGCTTTTAAAAAAACCAGAATTTGTGGTTTATTATTTTAGACGATAGATATGAGTTTCAATTTTGTTCTTTGTGATTATATTTTTTTAATGTTATCTTTATAAGGTGAAACCCAAATATTACAATTTAAATTTAGATTACAATTATCATATTTACATGTAAGCAAGACGTAAAATTTTTAGCAGTGATTATCTTTGTGAATATTCATCAATTACATTACCCATGTTTACAGTGATATATATTACTTAAAACCTATCTTTTTGGTTACACCAAGTAACCACAGTACACTTATTTTCCCTAATTATATCTCAAGGAAAGGAAGGAAAAAAATCCAAAGTACTATAGTAAGCAGCAAAATAAAGGTTATAGAAGGAAATAAGAAGCTTTGAAATAAGTCATTAAGAAGGGTTCGACTGAAGCACAGGATGAACTAAGTAACTAATGGCCTTTCTAGTCTGACGTCCTAAATGAAAAAAGAGGAGAAGGTATTCATTGTAAAAATTTTACCCTTAATAAATGATTGAAACATAATACGACTTTTATTGGGTAATACAGTTTCTGATTGACTTGAGCACCATTGATAGTTTCATCCTTAATTAGACCAAATTCTTAAGAATGCTGAACACTGAACATTAGCAATGAGTAAGTAACACGTTAGGAATGTACAATTCAGCCCTGGCCGGTTTGGCTCAGTGGCTAGAGCGTCAGCCCACGGACCAGAGAGTCCCGGGTTCAGTTCCCGCTAAGGGCATGTACCTCGGTTGCAGTTTGTCCCCGGCCGGCTTGTGTGGTCATGTGGTCATGTGGGAGGCAACCAGTCGATGTGTCTCTCTCACATCGATGTTTCTCTCTCTCTCTCTCTTCCTTCCTCTCTCCCTCCCGCTCTATCTGAGGATAAATGCAAAAATGTCCTCTGGTGAGGATAAAAAGAAAAAGAATTTACAATTCAGTTAACAAGAATAATCACACCATTGATATCGCTACAGTTACTTCGTTTTTAACAGAAATTTTGACACAACAGATGCTCTGAATGGACCAATCTCCCTAAGCACAGTGCTAGGCCATCCAGCAGACATTTAAAAACATCCCTTGAATCAGCTGTACTGGACCCTGTTACAATAAAGAATAGCACAGGGCCACAGATGTTGCCTGAGATAGCATTCATTACCTTAAAGATCAATTTCTCTATTTCAGAGTAATCATAAGGCTGGAAAATCACGAATACTTCCTAATTGTTACAAATTACATTATGGATTCTAAAAAATAATAGTCGGGAGCATCTGCGATCTTGCAACCCAGCATATATTGTCAGCTTGGTTCAAATAAACTCTTATAAAAAGCCCCTATAGGTTGGGGGGAGGGGGTTAATAGTCAATTTTTTAAAATCACCCTTTTAAATTATCACATTCTCTTTTTTTGTTTTCCTTTATCCTCACCCGAGACATTTTTTTCATTTTTTGTTCAGATAGAGTGGGAGGAAAAGAGAGGAAGAGAGAGAGAGAGAAACAGTGAGTGGCTGCCACCCGCAAGACCCAACCAGGGCCGGGGACAAACTGCAACTGAGGTACATGCCTCTAGAGGGAACCAAACCCGGGTCTCTCTGGACCACAGGCCAACGCTCTAACCACTGAGCAAAACCAGCCAGGGCTATCACAATCTTTTAAAATGTTATTTCAAACATTAATTTGTAAGTTTTTATGTGTTTCTGAAAACATAAGGTTTACAGCCATTAAAAATTATATGAAGAGTTGAGTACTCCTCTACAATGATGATCACTGCTAAACAAGACTATTTAATACTGGTTTGAACAGTGCAAGAGACATGGAGAATGGCAAACAAAGTCAAACTCACAAACTTCTTCCCTTTATTGAATACACACACTTAGAGATCATTACTTGAACTGGGACATTTTATTTTTATTTATTTAAATATGTTTTTATTGATTTTTTAGAGAAAGGGAGAAAGAGATACAAACATTAATCAGCTGCCCCCTGCACACCCTCCACTGCGGATAAAGCCTGAAATCCGGGCATGTACCCTGACCAGGAATCAAACTGGGACCTCCCACTCCATGGGGCAACACTCAGTCCACTGAGCCACACCAGCCAGGAGCACTGGGACATTTTAAATGACCTACTACTGTAGTAGTTTATTTATGTTAAAGAGAATTCAGATTTGAGATTGCTTCAGGATACTTCTGTAACTATAATTTATAGAACAGAACTAGTAAAAATGTTGATAGACAATATGCACATTTAAAATTAGAAAGCACAAGTCAGAATTTTGGTACAAAGACTCAAGAATACTATAGCAGTCCTGGTCGGTTTGGCTCAGCAGTTAGAGTATCAGCCTGTAGAGAGAAAGGTCTCTGGTTCAATTCCCAGTCAAGGGCATGTACCTGGGTTGCAGGTTCAATCTTAATCCCTGGCCCCAGTCAGGGTTGTGTGGGAGGCAACCAATAGATGTGCCTCTCTCACATCATTGTCTCTCTCTCTCCGCCCCCCTCTCTCCCTCCCTTTCACTCTACCTAAAAAAAAAATCAATGAAAAAATATCCTCAGGTAAGGATTAACCAAAAAGAAAAGAGAGAGAGAGAGAACCTGGCTCCTAATATTTCTTAAACATAACAGATATTTTATGTTTTCTCAAGTTAAATAAAAAACATAAATCATGCTGGAATCTGTAAAATGGAAACTTAAACCAAAGCTACTTTTGAGAAACAATCAGAGAAAATTCTTTTGAACTACTTGAATTTATAATACCATGAACAAGTACTATAGTTTAATTTAAAGTAGATAATTCAGTGAGAAAGCAAAAATAGTTTAGACTGATAGATTAAAGCTGAATGGAAAGGGGAATATTCAGAGAAATTTACAGGCTTTAAAAATTAGATGGTAGGGCATAAAAAATAATAACAAGTAAAACATTATTTTTGCTTCAGTTCTTCCTGTAAATCAACTCATGGTGTACTTTAGCAATACCCGAGACTCTCTATTTTCATTATTTATGATCAGACATAATCTTAATTACCTATGGCATTTTTGCATGCAAGAACTAACATTTTCTATACCTTTAACAAAGTCATTATTATGAGAGCATGAAACAATATTCTTCTGAAAAGTTATTAAAAGAGCCCTGGCAGAGTGGCTCAGATGGTTGGAGCATTGTCCCATGCCCTGAAAAGATTGGGGGTTCAATTCTTGGTCAGAGCACATACCTAGGGTGCAGGTTCAATCCCGGGTCAGCATGCATACAGGAGGATGTTTCTCTCTCACATCAGTGTTTCTCTCTCTCTCGCTCTCAAATCAATAAATATATCCTTGTTTGCTTATTGATTAAAAAAAATTACTAAAACAGATTTTGAATCAAAATTCTATTTAAGTAAAATGCTTTCCTTTTCATGAAGTTACCAAACTGTATACATAAAATATGAAGTAGGGAATAAATCTGCTGGTTTCCGGATCTAAAATGCTACTGGGAATTCTAAAATCTCAAAAGAAACAGTTATGTGAAAGTGTTATGCGAAAAGATTATTGAACATTTTATTTAGTATAACTCATTTTTGCTTTAAAAAATTTTTTGCATACACACAAAAGATTTGGAAAATATCGCCCAGCTAGTGTGGCTCAGTTGGTTGAGCACAGTCCCATGGACCAAGAGGCCATCAATTCGATTCCCAGTCAGGCCACATGCCCAGGTTTTGAGCTCTATCTCCCCTAGGTGGTGTGCAGGAAGCACTGATGTTTCTCTCTCATCTATGCTTCTATTTCTCTCTTCCTCTCTCTCTAAAATCAATAAAAAACATTTCTTAAAAAGATTTGGAAAAATGGACACTTCTAAATTACAGTATTATAATTCATTAATGTTTTTCTTTATACTCTTTTTTAACAGTCTTCAGTAAGTCTATACTGTATTACTTTTATAACCAGAAAAGATGTTAAGTGGAGGAAAAACTTTTTAAATCAGGGTTTATTCAATGACTTAACTCCCTTACAAGTGCGTTCAGCTTACCTGCCAT